CTGCGTCCTCCGAAGGGCACATTTGAAGGCCGATTGCTTCACCATGGCTCCTTCAAATGCACCCTTCGTGTCTCGTGAAACGAAGGATACAACAGATGTATCCTTCGTGCCCTACTCTACCCCAGAATTTGTTGCAAGCAAGTGATGTTTATTTGAGAGAAACTGCCAGATTACAATTTTTAATGTATTGTTTTCTACTGACTCGAATTATGTAATTTATGTAATGATTCAAATGTAAAAATAAAGAAAAATGTATATTAAGCAGTTCAAATATTGACTGATATCATACCAAGATTTTATATAGTTTATACTCTTTATTATGTACATAAATAGACCATGGTGAACATATTCAGACAGGTTTTGAACCCTGTTTTTTTCAGCAGTTGAATATAACTTTTAAAATAGTCCAGTACAAATGTTACTGCCGCTCATCAACAGCAGCTGTCACAGTAGCTAGGTGGCAAGAACAGTCCTCCGTAAGCTTTGTTTGCTGTGGCTATTTTCGTGGCGAGAAAAAATTATGGCTAAATTATATCAGATTTTTACAATTTATTTTTTTAAAAACCAGCACAATCTAATAAAACATGCTTCAGGGATAAGGGATTTTGGCATAGAGAACATGTTGGAGGATCTTCTCCTCCACAGGCTAAACTGTTTCATTTAACAACGCTGGGTCCGACCTTCGCGGCCTTCGAAGGATGCAGCCTTTGAATTGGGACACAGCTAATGACTTACTCATTAAGACATCTACTGCCACCAATTGGCAGTTTTAGTTTCTTATTTAGAGTATCATTTCATTAAAGGGGACATAACACACACATTTTCGCCAATCTCATGTTAATCTTGAGTACCTATATAGTAGTATTGCATCCTTCAAATCTCAGAAGAGTCTTTAGATTTATCAGATTTATAACAGTTTTACGATTCTCTCCGAAAACAGCCGAGTTCCTGGAGGCGTGCCGTGGGCGGAGCTAAAGAGTCTCGAGCACTTACGCGCCGATTGCCAACAAAACAGAAATTTGATGCAGTTTTACACACCGCCTGTGATTCCAGCTCATGACTGGGATATTTTATTGCTGGGACCGCTCAGTATCAAACGATCTGCAAATCTAGCGTCGAACTGGGCCTTATTTATAAAACATTCGTCACCGAAATGACGGGAACAAACACACACGTGCGAAACTCTGTTGCTGTCCCGGAAAGACAAACTGCATCCACTGTTCACATAACGCGTAAGGCATAATAAGGTTCTCTTTCCCTCACATCCAAAAACACACTTCTTTGGTGACATTCTTCTGGAGCGAGTCCTGTGCAGCGCTTCTGACGACTTACGTAACGCGAATGAAGCACGTTGGTGGGCTCTCGCTCTCGTTCTATTTGCTGTGTGCACGCGCTCTTCCGGGAGAAGCGCCCATACAAGGAATTCCGCTCTTCGTGACGTCATGAAGAGACATGCTCGAAAAAACTTTCCGAAACTTATTCGAACCCAGAGTGTATTTGGCACAGAAATACTCCGTCATACGTCCAAATCGTTTTTTGAAACTTTGGCCATGTTTAGCATGAGAATCCAACTCTTTAACAGTGTAAATAACTCCGAATGCATGAAATAGCATTAGACCCCACCCCCTTTTCTCCCCCAATTTCTCCTTTCTTAGCCCCCCCTTTAAAACATTTAATGTGAAAGAACTTATGTTGTTTCAAACCTGCATGACTTTCTTTCTTTTGCGGAACATACAGTAGAATATGTTTAGAAGAATGTTGGTAACAATGATTTGGTTACCATCGACATCCATTGTATGAAAAAACAAAACAAAAAAAAACCCCTGACATTTCTTATTTCTTTTTATTATTATTTATATTTTAAAATATTTCTTTCTAAAGTAACTTTTTGTTTCTTTGATGCTTTTCTCATTTAACACAATAATGACTTTAAATTTTCCTTTGGCGGTAATTTCTCAGCCAAATTAAAAAATTGAGTTGCTTGACATCCTAATACACACACACACACACACACACACACACACATATATATATATATATATATATACATATAT